CCCTGCTGTAAGCCCAGGTTTAGGGTTCAGGGGTTGAGAGGTTTAGCGGTTTAGGGCTTAGGGGTTTAGGGTCTACGGTTTAGGGGTTTAGGGTTTAGGGGTTTAGGGGTTCAGGGGTTTAGGGGTTAGGGTTGAGGGTTGGGTCTGCAGAATGAAGCCCGAAGTCCCAGAAGACTAAGTCGAGGGTTTCGGGTTTGGGGTTTAGGGTCTAATATAGAAGCCTAAATAGATACCAATACTATGTTAGGAGTTCCTTGCTATAAGACAAAGGTATAAGACACCCCCAAAACCCTATTCTAATTATTAAGGCCCTAAACCCTAAACCCTAAGCCCTAAACCCTAAACCCTAAATCCCCCAAAACCCTAAACCCTAAAACCCTAAACTCAACCCCTAAACCCCAAAGCCCTAAACCCTACATCCCCCAAACTCGAACACCCTACGGTGCAGCCCCCAAAGATGGCGCTGCGAGGTGCAGCGCTCCTTGGCGATCGATCGAACGCGAAAGCAGGAGATCACTGAGTAGGGGTTTAGGGTTTAGGGTTTTAGGGTTTAGGGTTTAGGGTTTAGGGTTCAGGGTTTAGGGTTTAGGGTTTTAGGGTTTAGGGTTTAGGGGCTGATTGGGGCCAGTAGGGCCCATCAGTTCGAGTTTCCGGAACTCTAAACCTTAGAACCTCTATAGAACCCTTGCAGACACTCTTGTAGAAGCCCACAGCCCTTGTTGCACTCTGACCCTCCTCTTTTTAGATCCGTTTTAAACCGGAGGCCCTGAGACCTAAGCCCTAAACCCCTAAACCCCCAAACCCTAACTAAACTCCTAAACCCCTAGAGCCCTAAAGCCCTGAACCCTAAACCCTGAACTCCTAGACCTAAACCTTAAACCCGAAACCGTAAACCCCTAAGCCCTAAACCCAAAAAGCCGCTAAGCCCCACACCCTAAACCCTAAACTTTCCCTAAACCCCTAAAACCCCCTAAAACCCAAAAGGCAATCCCTAAACCTAAACCCTAAAAGCCCTATAGATCCCTTTAAAGCAAACCCTTATAGTACCCTTTAAAGGAAACTTTAAACCCCCAAAAAGCCACTAATTCTTATTCCCTACACCCTACACCCTAAACCCTAAACCCTAAACACTAAACCCTGAACCCTAAACCCTAAACCCTAAACCCTAAACCCTAAAGCCTAACTATACTAGGAGGAGCTGCGGACGCTGCGTTTGGCCCAGCGCCTCCGCCGCGCGGCCGCGGGCTCGGCGGGCTCCCCCAGTCGCTCCGGGAAAGGCGGGGGCTGTCCTCTCTGTTTTAGGGTTTAGGGTTTCAGGGTTTAGGGTCTAGGGTTTAGGGCTTAGGGTTTAGGGTTTAGGGTTTAGGGTTTAGGGTTTAGGGTAGATATAGTATAGTTCAGTATACTATAATATAGTATACAATAGTATAGTATATTGATTGTAGAGGTAGAGTAGAGTAGAGTAGAGTAGAGTAGAGTAGAGTATATTGTATAGTGTAATGCAAGAAGAATAATAAAACGGGGGAGCGGATCAGGGTTTCGACAAGCCTTTCTGTAAGGTTTGGAGTTTTCGGGTGTGGATTTTTAGTTTGTGAAGTGAGGCTTCAGAGGCGGTCTATTCTAGGTTTAGGTTCCCCAGTAGTACCCTTCTGCCCTTTTTTTTGGGTTCCCTTAATATAACCAAATAGTAGGAAAAAGGGTACCCTTATTATTTAGGGGCTACTGGAGGTTTTGTGAGGGTTTTGCAGCTTTTCGGGGAGGGCTCGGGGTGTGCTGACCTCTCGAGGTCTTCTGAGGCTGCAGACCCGTAGCGAGAGGAAAAAAGTGCTTCAAGCAAAACTCTGAAAGCCCTGAGCCTTAAACCCTAAACCCCTAGACCCTAACTAAACCTCAAACCCCCTAAACCCTAAACCCTAAGACCCTAAACCCTAAACCCTAAATCTTAAGACCCTAAGACCCTAAACCCTAAACCCGAAGACCCTAACCCCTAAACCCTAAATCCCAAGACCCTAAGGCTCAACCAAAGAAGATCCGTGATCCCGGGGATGGACGATAGGATTTATAGGCTTTAAGGTTTGGGTTTAGGGTTTA